GAAATTCGCCCCCGGACCCCTGGATTTTCTGATTCTCAGAAATTCAGAAATTCAGAAATTCGGAAATTTGCCCCCGGGCCTCTGGATTTTCTGATTCTCAGAAATTCAAAAATTCAGAAATTCAGAAATTCGGAAATTCGCCCCCAGGCCTCTGGATTTTCTGATTCTCAGAAATTCAGAAATTCAGAAATTCGGAAATTCGCCCCCTGGCCTCTGGATTTTCTGATTCTCAGAAATTCAGAAATTCGGTCATTCGGAAATTCGCCCCCGGACCCCTGGATTTTCTGATTCTCAGAAATTCAGAAATTCGGAAATTCGCCCCCGGGCCTCTGCATTTTCTGATTCTCAGAAATTCGGAAATTCGCCCCTGGACTTCTGGATTTTCTGATTCTCAAAAATTCAGAAATTCGGAAATTCGGAAATTTCGAATTTCCGAATTTCTGAATTTCTGAGAATTACAAGATCCAGAGGCCCAGGGGCGAATTTCCGAATTTCCGAATTTCTGAATTTCTGAGAATCAGAAAATCCAGAGGCCCGGGGGCGAATTTCCGAATTTCTGAATTTCTGAATTTCTGAGAGTCAGAAAATCCAGAGGCCAGGGGGCGACTTTCCGAATGACCGAATTTCCGAATTTCTTCTGAATTTCTGAGAGTCAGAAAATCCAGAGGCCCGGGGGCGAATTTCTGAATTTCTGAATTTCTGAGAATCAGAAAATCCAGGGGTCCGGGCGCGAATTTCCGAATTTCTGAATTTCTGAATTTCTGAGAATCAGAAAATCCAGAGGCCCGGGGGCGAATTTCCGAATTTCTGAATTTCTGAATTTCTGAGAATCAGAAAATCCAGAGGCCCGGGGGCGAATTTCCGAATTTCCGAATTTCTGAATTTCTGAGAATCAGAAAATCCTGAGGCCGGGGGGCGAATTTCCGAATTTCTGAATTTCCGAGTTTCTGAGTTTCTGAGAATCACCAAATCCCGAGGCCCAGGGGCGAATTTCCGAATTTCTGAATTTCTGAATTTCTGAATTTCTGAGAATCAGAAAATCCAGAGGCCCAGGGGCGAATTTCAGATTTTTTGAATTTCTGAGAATCAGAAAATCCCGAAGCCCAGGGGCTCCTTTCCTAATTTCCGAAATTCTGAATTTCAGAGAATCAGAAAATCCAAGGGTCCAGGGGCGATTTTCCGAATTTCTGAATTTCTAAGAATCAGAAAATCCATAGGCCCAAGGGTGAATTTCCGAATTTCTGAATTTCTGAGAATCAAACAAACTCCAGGTCCAGCGGCGAATTTCCGAATTTCTGAATTTCTGAATTTCTGAGAATCAGAAAATCCAGAGGCCCAGAGGCGAATTTCCGAATTTCTGAATTTCTGAGAGTCAGAAAATCCAGAGGACCAGGGGCGAATCTCCGAAATTCCGAATTCTCGAACTTCTGAAAAGTAGAAAGATCCCAAAACTCAGCTTCCCGACTTCCCAGGGAGTCTGCAGGGATTGTTATCGGACAGCTTGGCAATTCGGGAACTGCTTTCTTTTGGGAGTGGTTGAAACTGTCTCCTTTCGGTAGTAGTTGACGAGAATTCAAATAATCCTGGGGTTCAACTTGCCGAATTCCTTGGAATTCGGGGATTCGGGAATTCGAGGCGAATTCCCGAATTCCCGAATCATCATCACCACCATCATCATCATCGTCATCATCATCATCATCATCACCATCATCGTCTGTCTAAGTCTGTCTGTCTGTCTGTCTGTCTGTCTGTCTGTCTGTCTGTCTGTCTGTCTGTCTGTCTGTCTGTCTGTCTGTCTGTCTGTCTGTCTGTCTGTCTCTGTGACTGTCGGTCTGTCTTCTGTCTGTCTGTCTGTCTGTCTGTCTGTCTGTCTGTCTGTGTGTCTGTCTTTCTGTCTGTCTGTCTGTCTGTCTGTTTGTCTGTCTGTTGTTCTGTCTCTCTCTATCTCTCTCTCTCCCTCCCCGTAGCTAGCATCAGCACGAAGGGAACGGAAACAAGAGGCAGCAGGAGCGCCGGGGGGGAGAGAGGGAGGGGGAGCGGAAGGAGGTCGGAGGAGGGGGGACAGGGACGAGGAGGGGAGGAAGGAGGCAGGGAGAGTTTCCATCTCCATTCCCCTGCTAACTGCTGTATTGGTTGAGGGAGGGAGCGCTGCTGCCGCCCCCCTCTCCCTCTCCCTCCCCTCGCCTCTCCTCCCTTCTGCTGCTGCTGCTGCTCCTCCTCCCCCTCTCCCTCCCCCTGCTGATCGTTGCTCCTCCCCCTCTCCCTCCCCCCGCTGCTCTTCTCCCCCTCTCCCTCCCCCTGCTGATCGCTGCTCCTCCACCTTTCCCTACCCCCGCTGCCTTCTCCCCCTCTCCCTCCCCCTGCTGATCGCTGCCCCTCCCCCCTTCCCTGCCCCCGCTGCTCTTCTCCCCCTCTCCCTACCCCCGCTGCTCTTCTCCCCCTCTCCTTCCCCCTGCTGCTCTTCCCCCCCTATCCCTCCCCAACTCCCTCCCTCCTGCTGCTGTTCCTCCTCCCCCTCTCCCTCCCCTTGCTGCTGTTGCTGCTGCTGCTGCTGCTGCTCCTCCCCCTATCCCTTCCCGTCTGATGATGATAACGATGCTGCTTACGATGCTGCTGATAATGATCATGCTGATAATGATGATGACGACGACGACGACGACGATGTTTAAAGACGGCGGTACGGATGATAACGGTGATGCTGATGATGATGATGATGATGATGATGATGATGATGATGATGATGATGATGACAAGGATGACGCTGGTCATGATGGTGATGATGCTGCTGATGATAATGATGATGACGACGATGCCGATGATGATGATGCCGATGATGCCGATGCTGATGCTGATGCTGCTGATGATGATGGTGATGACAATGACGATGATGTCCACGACGACGACGACGAGGGCGATGATGACGATGGTGTTGTTGATGATGGTGACGACGATCGATAGTGATGACACTGATAGCGACGATGATAACGGCAAGGATGCCGATGACGATGATGATCATGATCATGATCATGATCATGATCATGATAATGATGATGATGATGATGATGATGATGATGATGATGACGACGATGGTGATGATGATCATCATCATCATCATCATCATCATCATCATCATCATCATCATCATCATCACGGCAAGGTCCGCCCACCCGACCCGCCCGCGAGGGTCCGCTGCCCGACCCGCTCACTAATTCCCTCCCGCCCCGCCCGCGAGGGGCCGCCGCCGACCCGCCCATTAGGGCCCGCCCGCCCCGCCCGCCCCTTAGGGTGCGCCGCCCGACCCGCCCGTCTGGATCAGAGGCAACCCCCGCGCGACTTCCGAGACACGCTGAACACTACAAAAAACATGACATATTTGATGAACGCTTAACGGGAGGATCTCGAGATCCCCCTTTTGCGGGTAGCGGTGCGGGTCCTGGTAAACATGCTTCGAAGAGCTCCCCGGCGGTCCGGAATGCAATCAAAAAAACGAATGGTTGTTTCGAAAGGACTTCAAGATCGCCTCAAGGAACTCCCCCCCGGTCGCCAAGAATGGCCCCCATCCAGCATGGTGCCCGAGCGTGCCTCTAGCCCCAAAAAGGCGACCAAGAGGCTCGCGGATGCCCCCAGCAGCCCCGCAGAAAGTCTTCAGGGGATACTCAAAAAGGCTCCCAGGCAGCCCCAACGAGACCTCCGAAAAACGCTAAAAACTACCAAAGAACAGTACATCTTTGATCAACGCTCAAAGGGGGGATCTCGAGATCCCCCCTTTGAGAGTATATGAAACATGCGTTGAAAAATGACGTTTCCTGGTAAACATGCTTTCGAAGAGCTCCCCGGCGGTCCGAAATACAATCAAAAAAGCTAAGGGTTGTTCCAACAACTCCTCAAGAACGCCTCAAGAAGTCCCCCTGGCCGCCAGGAACGGCCCAAGACGCTTCCAAGATGGCCAACACATGTGAGGCTCGAACTAAAACTCGGTCCTCCCATCCAGCATGGCGCCCGAGCGTGCCTCTAGCCCCAAAAAGGCGACCAAGAGGCTCGCGGATGCCCCCAGCAGCACCGCAGAAAGGCTTCAGGGGATCTTCAAAAAGGCTCCCAGGCAGCCGCAACGAGACCTCCGAAAAACGCTAAAAACCACCAACAAACAGTACATATTTGATCAACGCTCAAAGGGGGGATCTCGAGATCCCCCCTTTGAGAGTATATGAAACATGCGTTGAACAAAAAACAGACGTTTTGAGTCCTGGTAAACATGCTTTCGAAGAGCTCCCTGGCAGTCCGAAATACAATCAAACAAGTTGGTCCAACAACTCTTCAATATCGCCTCAAGAAGTCTCCCTGACCGCCAAGAACGGCCAAAGAAGCTTCCAGGACGGCCAACACATATGAGGCTTGGACTAAAACTCGGTCCTCCCATCCAGCGTGGCGCCCCAGCGTGCCTCCGATGATGATGATGAGTACTATTTTTAATCTTTGATGGTTATATCTCTCGCTTCGTTGAGGCCCGCCTCTGTCAGCTTGCCTGTCTGTAACTATTTCGCTCAAGTCTTGAGGGCCGATGTGGCAGCAGCGTCTCCAAGATTTAGCTGTCAACGGCCTGCTTTCGTACCTCAGCAGGTGCCCAGCAGCTCCTCCTTGTCCCGCGGTGCCAGCCTGTCCCGCGTCAGCCGCGGTCACTTGCGGGTCGTGCCCGCCTTGCCCAGGCTGTCCTGCTCTGAGCTGTGGGAGGCAGCCCGAGGTGACCGAGTGCCCGTCGACGGCACCTTCGACCCCGTGCGCCTGGGCTTTCTGGCTGACGGTGGGCATTCTCATCGGCGTTGTGGTGAGTTGGGCCGCGGTGCTGGCCTTTAGAGTCCTTCGAGGGTTGCTCAGCCGTATTCGTGAAGTGCTTGGCGGCTCGTCGGACTCGGCTTCTTCTTTGACTGTCGGTTCTCACAATGGACACGTTAGACATCCCAGAACCCCAAGTACTCGTGCACTATCCCAATGATGAGGGAGGCATGTTCTGGGATCACCGTATTCTAGTGAAGAAGATCACAGCGGGGGTGTGGATAGCGATCGCCCCCGACCCAGAGCTTGTGCGTCATAACCTCTTGGAGCAGCGCCACCTCGTCCTGGACCGCAATTCGATGTTCCCTGCGAATCGTCGGGGCGAGGTTTATGGCTTCGACCCTGTGCCTCGAGCTGAGATTCTGGCTCTAAAAAGGCAAGCCGCAGTTCAGGCGGCAATATTGGGCGACGGTGACCATGACGTTGAGATGGAGAACTTCGTTTGGGTCGTCGCGGAGGTAGGTCACTCTCGGTTTGCCCAGCCCCTGGTCGATGCAGAGTTAGACCAGGCTACCTTGGGGCAGTCCAAGGGCGTGGCGCTGGTGAGCGGCCTTGAGGTGTTCGTAGAGAAGGTTCAGAGCAACCAGTTGCAGGAGTGGATGACCTCACGCAGCTCGGAGGGAGGAGACCTCCGCACCTTGGGCGACCATCGGGACTCCGCAGGCCGCCGTCATCTTCCGCTTTCAGACGCTGTGTCCTTGATGCGCGAGACGAGCTTCGACGATTGGGCCATGCCTGGACCGCGAGTTGCCGAGGAGTGGCTCGTTTCAGTTCGGGATGGCCCTGGCGACCTTTCTTCTTATCACGGACAGTGGGTTCGCCGTTCGGGAGTCAGCGAGTCCTCGGCGGTGGCCCACATTCATTATGTGCTGTGCGAGTCGGTTCGGCTGGCCATTCAGACAGACCAGCTCGATGTGACAAGCTTGTTGAGTTTCGAACTCATCATGCGCAGGATCTGCCAGGACGAGACAGCGGTGGCTCGCAACCCTCGCCATCCTGACTACGGTGGGCTGGAGATTTTGCTTCGCGCTCCAACCGCCGAACAGGGCCAGGCGAGCACGAACAGGTTCACGGAGTGGGTCACGGGCCGTCTCAAGGAGCAGGCCGCGATCTACAAGCAGACTCGGTTGTGGAACGATGAGCAGCGGGCCATGCAGAACTCTCCGTGCCCCCGCAGACTCAGGCCGAGGACGAGGCCGCGGTCGCGGGCGCGGCAGAGGTGAGAAGGGGGGCAAGGGCGAGGAGGAGGCCCCGGGGTGACCGCGGCCTTCCGGGCCGAGTCTGATCCCCGAGCTCGGCCCGACGCTCCTGCTACGGATCGGGGACATACTACCCGGTGGAGGCCCTCGAGACGGAGGCACGGGGACCCTTTCCCTCTGCCGCATGTTTTGCCCTCTCAGCTCGACAGCTCGGGCTTGGGCCTCGAGCAGCGACAGCGAGCGCTCTCGGCGCGGGCTTCGCTCAACCATCTCGCTGCTGCTCAACCGAATTCAGATAGTGTTTACCAGGCTCGCCAGTCATCTCGGGCCCCGACTGCCGTTCAGGAATGGATCCTGGACAGCATCACGGAGCGCGTTGCCGCTGTGGCCCCCCCCCCGCCTGGCCTGACGGCCGAGGGGGCCGCTCGCGAGTCGCTGGCTTCTAAGGGCCTGTACTGCCAGGGGCCGCAGAACCTCGCGCCGTTCGATCTGACAAAGCTCAAGGTCGCAAAGGGGCGCGCTCGACCTCGCTCTGTGGCTAACTTCTTGCCGCCTTTGCCTGCGGACATGATCCGCAACCCTGCACTGTACATCGAGAAGGATGAGGGGGGGATGGAGTTCATGCGCCAGCACACCGATCCTATTCGTCCTTACTGGGATCCCGTGCTTCGCTCGAGTCGGACAGAGCGTTGGCGACTTTTCAGGGCGTTGTATGAGCTAGGGCTGATAACTTTCAGGCGTCGTCTCGGGGCTCGTGCTGCCCTCTTCTTTGTGAAGAAAAAGAAACCAGGTGAGATTAGAATGATTGTGGATGCTAGACAGGCCAATTCGTGATTCGTGTCATCGTGCCCCTCCGACTTCAAGACTCGGCTCAGCTGGGGCCCGTGCGGACCTCGACCTCTCCGCGGGTGGCGAGTCCGTCGACGGTGTCGGCAGTGTGATAGGCTGGGGCCCCCGCGGGAACGAGGCCGATGTCGAGGACTGCTTCTACAACTTCGCCTTCGATGGCTTGGCGGAGTGGTTCGGTTTCGACGACCCGCTGCCCGCCGCCGAGATCAGGGGCACGTGCGGCATCAATGTCGGAGCGTTCTGGGACCCCGAGCTGAACGCGATGGTCTCCGTGGAAGACGACATGGTCTTGTATCCGTGCATGCGCGCTATGTGCACGGGGTGGTCTTGGGCTCTGTACTTTGCGCAGGAGGCTGTGTCCGCTATGACAGAGCGGGCGCTGCGCTCGTCGTCTCTACCGACGCCTGCCATGGTGAAGGAACATCATCCCGCCCCCGACTTGAATGAGTCTAAGGTCATGGGAAGCGTCTACGTGGACAACATCACTGTCTTCGGCAGGGACGCTTCTCTGGCTCGTGAGGCGAGCTCCGCCCTGCAGGCTGAAGCTGACCGATCTGGTTTGCCTATCACGTGGTCCTATCCTGATGTGGTGACCTACCTCGAGACCGTGGGCGTTGAGATCGACCTCAGGAAGGGGAAGCTTCGCAACAAGGCCTCCCGAGTGTGGCGGTTTGACTTGGCCACCCGCGCTCTCCTGCGTCGTGGCAAGATGCGAGGGGAGCACATGGAGGTCTGGCTGGGCCACGCTGTATCGCTGCTGATGCTGGCCAGGCCCGGGTACGCCGCGCTCTCAGCCACGTACCGGTTCGCCGAGACCGCCTGGGGTGTTTGGGCCCCTTTGCCGCGCGAGGTCATGCGCGAGATGAGGTTGGTCGCTGGGCTGGTCTGGCTCGCTGAGGTCGACCTGGCGGCGCCCTACGTGCCGCGCGTCTATGCCAGCGACTCCGCCGACAACGGGTACGGCCTGATGTACAAGAAGGCCTCGGTCGAGGAGATGCAGTCGGCCTTCCGCTGGAAGGAGAAGTGGAGCTTCAGGCAGCGCCTCCGAGGCCCCCGCGTTGGTCTGACTTCGGCCGCCGATGTCGCTGAGATGGGCGGCTACAAGGAAGCAGACGAGGCGCAGCTGGATCACGAGGTGGAGCCCCGTTTCCGCTCCGCCGAGCCGAACGCTGGCTCCGCCCCTGCCGCGGCCTTCGGCCAGTGGCTGCAGAGCAAGGCCGAGGAGGGCTCTGCCCTCGACAGACCTCATCGGCCTCGCCCTCGCCGTCTGCGACGGCGCCCCGCCGACCCTGACGATCCCGACGCCGAGTGCCTCGGTCAGGTGGGCCCCCTGGCGCCGCCGCTGCCCGCCTCCTGGTTCGACTCGGAGGGCTTCGAGCAGGTAGCAGCAAGGCGCTGGCGCTGGCCTGGAGAGCACATCAATGTGAAGGAGACCCGCGCTGCTGTGATGGGGCTGCGGCATGCCTGTTGCGTTCGCCAGAGTTGCGGACGCCGCCTAGTTTCTCTCGTGGACTCCATGGTATGTGTTGGCTGCCTGGACAAAGGGCGGCCCAGCCGCTCAGCAGCTTTGAACGCGCAGTGCCGGCGAGCTGCGGCCTACACAATCGGTTGTAGAGTGCGTTGGAGGCTGCGGTATGTCAACACGAAGTTTAACGTGGCCGACGCTCCATCTCGTCGGTTCGAGCACACTTCCCCCGACAAAGGATACAACAGACAGAGTTCGACAGACATGACATCATCTTCCCCCTCTTACTCCCCTTTGAACGCTGTAGTCAGGACGGGCAGCCTGCCCCCTGGACTCGGTCTCGCAGGGCGCCCGCCCGCCGCGGCCGAGAGCGACAAGCATCTGGGTTTGCAGCCTCCCGAGGAAATCGAGGCTTCTCTGCGTCGAGCGTCCTGTCCGTCTTCTACTCCAGCACCTTCGGTGACCAGTCGGACCGCCTGTCCCCCTCTACGTCTTGGGCGCGCTCAGCTTCGGAGACGGGCCCAGCAGGGCCAGGGTTTCTTGGAGCTGTTCTCGGGCGAGGGTGGGCTCTCCAAGGCGTTCGAGGAGCTCGGCCTGCATACTTACCCCTGCATGGACATCAAGGATGGGGCTCACTATGACCTCCTGGACCCGAAGGTCCAGGACATCATCTTAGAGGACATCCGAAAGGGGCGCTTCTGGTATGTACATCTTGGGACGCCTTGTTGTGTGTGGTCTCGGGCTCGTCGCGGCATCGCCAACTATGAGAAAGCCGCGTGCAAGGAGCGTGTGGGTGTAGCTCTCGCCTTGTTCAGCTGCCGTGTTGCTTATGAGTGTTCGCGGAGCGGCATCTTCTGGAGCATTGAGAATCCGAGATCTTCCAGACTTTGGGACTTCGACCCCGTTCGAGAGCTCACTGACCTTCCTGACGTTGTTCGCGTGTGTTTGGTACACTGTAGTTACGGGGCCTCCCACATGAAGCCGACAGCGATTCTCATTAACCTTTCAGCCCTGAGTTCCTTAGCTTCGGCGTGCTCCAGAGATCATTCACATGTTGAGCTCGGGGGTTTCGAGGCCGTGACGTTGCCATCTGGGGCTCGTGTTTCTCGCAATCGTACGGCAGGCGCTGGGGCCTACCCCCGCAGTCTTTGCCAGGCATGGGCCCTGGCCGCGGGCATGTCAGCGCGTGCGGGGGCCCGGGGCGGCTCAGGCCCGCCTGACGGCGGGGGCCTGGAGGCCTGGCTTCGCGATGCTGCGCGACGGCCGGCTTCGCGCGCCCGCGGGCGCCTCCGACCAGCTCGGCAGCGGCTTCAAGCGGAGCCTGACCTCGGGCTCGCTGGCGCCGCCGACTCAGCCGACCTCGAGAGCAGGTTTGACCACCTGCGGCCTTTCATCGTCTTCGGTCAGGACTCCAACCTCGAAGCAGCAAGGAAACAGGCAGCCCGCTCGAGGAAAGGCCCGAAAGGTCGCTGGCCGCCGCTCCCGCGTCTCTAGTTTCGTGGAGGCAATCAAGGGCCGCAACCTGAGCTTCGGGCCGACGGCGCCAGTCCCTGTGGATGGAGGTGTCGCCCGTTTCGGCTCGATCACCTCGACGTCGCTCGAGCGATATGGGACCGCAGTTCGCGAGTTTTTCGACTGGGCGACGCGCTCTGATGACCTCAGACAAGCTCCAGAGTCCGTTATCGATCAGAAAATGTGCAAGTACTTCGATGTTCTCATGAGTGATGCTCGGCATGCCGCTGAAGGACGGTGCACACTCTGGGGGTATCTGACTTTCTTCCCACGGTCGGACATCGCCAAGTCCGCCCGCCTCGCGATGGCTCGTGAGGCGATGAAGGGCTGGGTCCGCAGGTTCCCTGGCTCCTCGCGACATCCGTGGCCGCTCTCGGTTTTCTATGTGTTCATGAGTGTCTTCCTGAGGGACAATCACACCGAGGCTGCCGTCGCCCTGGCCATCCAACTAGAGGCCTACCTGAGACCTTCTGAGATATGCGAACTGCGGTGGTGCTCCGTGGTTCAGCCCTCGAAGCTCTCATCTTCATTGTCAAGAAACAAGTGGGCTGTTGTCATTGGTAACTCAGACCTCGGTGAGACCACGAAGACTGGCGAGAGCGATGACACTGTGGTTCTCGACTCTATCGGCCGTGAGTGGGTAGGTTCCGTGCTTGAGATGCGGGCTAGGCGCCATAAGTCTGACACCTGTTCTGATCAGCTAGTCTTCCCGCACCTGTCTCTAGCCAAGTATGAAGCACTTTTTAGGAAATACAGTCGCTCCGTTCTCGGCAAAGTAGGGCACCTCACTCCCCACGTGGCCCGTCACTCAGCGCCCAGTCACGACGTGTTGGTGCGCGCTCGCAGTCTAGCAGTTGTTCAGAAGCGCGGGCGCTGGGCCCACGCCAAGTCCGTAAAACGATACGAGAAGAGCGGCCGCCTTCTTCTCCAGGCCGCCCGTCTTCCTTCCGAGCTCGCGAGGCGAGCCACTGCTGCGGAGGCCTCCATCTTTCAGTGCTTTCAGGAGGCCCTCCAGTAATAGATCACGGTATGGGCTGTGATTGCCAAAGCCTTTGTTGAATCCTCAGGTGTACTCGTGGACCGAGTATCCCTTCGGAAGGAACCTTTTCGCTCTGCTCGCCTGGCGCATGTCAAAAAGAGAAGGTTCAAAGAGATCCCCCAACGAAGGATCTAACCAGCCCTCTGGAGTGGGTCTCTGGGCCGCTGGAGAAGGGTCAGCGATGTTTTTAATCTTTGATTGTTATATCTCTCGCTTCGTTGAGGCCCGCCCCTGTCAGCTTGCCTGTCTGTAACTATTTCGCTCAAGTCTCCCTCCTCTCCCTCCCTGTGTCTGTCTGGGCTGTGGTTGCCAAAGCCTTTGTTGAATCCTCAGGTGTACTCGTGGACCGAGTATCCCTTCGGAAGGAACCTTTTCGCTCTGCTCGCCTGGCGCATGTCAAAAAGAGAAGGTTCAAAGAGATCCCCCAGCGAAGGATCTAACCAGCCCTCTGGAGTGGGTCTCTGGGCCGCTGGAGAAGGATCGGATATGTTATTGGTATTATTATTGTTATTACTGTTGTGATGATGATGATGAGGAGGAGGATATCATTGTGATGCTGATGATGGTGATTATGATGAGGATGAGGATGAGGATGAGGATGAGGATGAGGATGAGGATGAGGATGATGATGATGATGATGATGATGATGATGATGATGATGATGATGATGTTCATCATCATCATCATCAAGGCAAAGGTCCGCCCACCCGACCCGCCCGCAAGGGTCCGCTGCCCGACCCGCTCATTAGTGCCCGCCCGCCCCGCCCGCGAGGGTCCGCCGCGCGACCCGCCCATTAGGGTCCGCCCGCCCCGCCCGCCCCTCAGGGTGCGCCGCCCGACACGCACGTTTGGTTCAGAGGCAGCCCCCGCGAGACTTCCGAGACGCGGTAAAAACTACAAAAAACATTACATATTTGATGAACGCTTAAAGGGGGGATCTCGAGATCCCCCCTTTGAGTCCCTTTGAGGGTAGCGGTGTGGGTCCTGGTAAACATGCTTTCGAAGAGCTCCCCTGCGGTCCGAAATGCTATCAAAAAACGAATGGTTGTTTCAAAAGGTCTTCAAGATCGCCTCAAGAAGCTCCCCCCGGTCGCCAAGAATGGCCCAGGAAGCTTCCAAGTCGGCCAAAACATATGAGGTTCGGACTGCGGTTCGGTCCTCCCATCCAGCTTGGCGCCAGAGCGTGCCTCCGAGCCCCAAAAAGGCGACCAAGAGGCTCGCGGATGCCCCCAGCAACCCCCCAGAAAGGCTTCAGGGGATCCTCAAAAAGGCTCCCAGGCAGCCCCAACGAAACCTCAGAAAAACGGTAAAAACATTCCAAACAACAATACATATGCAATCAACGCTCAAAGGGGGGATCTCGGGATCCCCCTTATATCAAAAATTCGATGAACAACTGACGTTTTGAGTCCTGGTAAACATGCTTTCGAAGAGCTCTCCGGCGGTCCGAAATGCAATTAAAACAAACTAAGGGTTGTTCCAACAACTCCTCAAGAACGCCTGAAGAAGTCCCCCTGACCGCCAAGAACGGCCCAAGACGCGTCCAAGACGGCCAACACATATGAGGCTTGGACTAAAACTCGGTCCTCCCATCCAGCGTGGCGCA